AGATCCCGAGAGGAGAATGGAGGAGAAGGGATTGCGGCGTGACCATCCCCCCTGGGGGGTGATTTCTCGCTTTCTGTCTCTATGTCTCTCTCTGTCCGTCTGGCAAGCACACGTGCCCTATAGCGAAAAAGAAAACCTCTCCAAAAAAAAAAAAATTTCTAAAAAAAAAAGAGAACATAAAGGGGAGAGCTTCATTATACTGAATTTGGCTATGACTTTTTAATGATGTCAAAAGCAGAAGCAACAAAAGCAAAAAAAAAATGATAAATCATCAACATTTAAAACTTTCATGCATTAAAAAGAAAAAAAACAGAGTGAAAAAGCAAGCAGTGGAATGGGTGAAAATATTTGCAAATCATGGCCAATAAGGGTATAACATTCAGGCTATATAAAGAACTTCTACAAGGTAATAATCAAAAAACAACCCAATTTAAAAAATGGAACTCAAGTAGACATTATTCCAAAGAAGAAATACAAAGAGCCAAGAAACAAAAGATGCTCAATATCACTAATCATTATGGATAAGCAAATTAAAACTATGAGATAATACCTCATGTCATTAGGATAGCTATTATAAAAATCAATAAAAATTTTAAAAAATAGAAAATAAGGGTGAGCAAGAGTACAGAGAAAACAGAACATCTGGGCACTGTTGGTGGTAACAGAAAATTATATAGTTACTATGAACATAGTATGACAGCTCCTCAAAAAATTAAAAACAGAATTACTATATGATCCATCAATTGCATTCCTGGGTGTATGTGCAACAGAATTGAAAGCAAGATTTCAAATAGCTATTTGTACACCTACATTCATAACAGCACCAGTCACAATAGCCAAAATGTATAAGCAACCCAAGTGTCCACCCACAGATGAATGGGTAAGCAAAATGCAGTATAAACATACAAAAGAATATTATTTAGTTATTAAAAGAAAGGAAATTCTGACACATGCTACAACATGGGTAAATCTTGAGGACATCATACTAAATAAGTCAGTCACAAAAAGACAAATACTCTTTAATTTCACTTCTATGTGGTACCTAGCGTAGTCCAATTCATAGAGACAGAAGATTGAATGGCGGTTGCCAGGGACTGAAACAGGGATAATGGAGAGCTGTTATTTAATGGGCATAGAGTTTTGCAACATGAGAAAGTTCTGGAAATTGGTTGCATAGCAATGTGAGTATACTTAATGGTACTAAACTGTACACTTAAATGGTTACAATGGCCATTTTATGTTATGTGTATTTTGCCCTTATTAAAAATTTTAAAATAAAATGTTTTAATGGAATTATTTAATTTCATTTGCTATTGTTTTTTTATTTGCTATAGGGTATATACACTCACCAGAGAGAAACAGCGGGACAGTGGGAAAGTAAGAAAGCAAGCTGCCAGATCTGGGACTCAAACCAGGGTCAGCAAAGTGGGAGTCCAGAGCCTCAACCACCACACCACCTGCTGGTCTCAAATAAAAAGTTTTTAAAATAGTTAAGTCACCATGGTTGTTGAAGAGTAGCTAGGCTTCCCCCATTAAAGGGTTGTGCATGATTAAATTTATTTAGATTGCTTAACGGGTGACATAGATATTGCTGTGGTCCAAGAAAAGCACTCAACTATAATTCCCTATCCACTGTCTCTGTCCCTCATCTTCTCATTAGCAACATCTATTTTAGCTACATTTAGGAACTTAGTTGCTCCACACAGCCCAGAAAATTCCCCCCAAAATAAATTTCAAATCTTTGCAGCCACTGCCCTACATTTTCCAGTATAGCAAAACCAAATGGGCACATCCACAACAGCATGCCTCTACAGAGGACATGCAGAGATCCTCAGTCTTCTAAGCTAGCAGACTGGTGTTGCACCTCAGCACTTGATGGTGCCTTGATAACTGCGTAACAACCACCTAAAAATGCTTCACTGAAATATAGTTTATACTTAGGATGAAAGTTTGGTTACCACCTTTAATATTGTAGATCAACATTCTTCTAGTACTAATATATAAAACAAAATGCCATTAGTCATTTGTTTGTGTATTAGTTTAGAATCT